ATTCTTGGATTATCACAAAAGAGCTATATCGAAAAGGTACTTAAAAGATATGGCATGCAAGATTGTAAACCATGTGACACCCCTGTGGCTAAAGGTGACAAGTTCAGCTTAAGTCAGTGCCCTAAAAATGACTTGGAAATTAAAGAAATGCAGAAGATTCCTTATTCCTCAGCTATAGGGAGTCTGATGTATGCTCAGGTTTGTACGCGTCCGGATATAGCGTAGATCGTTGGGATGCTAGGGAGATATTTAAGTAACTCGGGAATGGATCATTGGAAAGCAGCCAAATGGGTCATGCGGTATTTACAGAGAACAAAAGACTACATGCTCACATACAGGAGATCGGATCAGTTGGAGATCATCGATTATTCTGATTCCGATTTCGCGGGATGCCAAGATAGTAGGAGATCCACTTCAGGCTATATTTACCTGCTTGCTGGAGGTGCTATTTCGTGGAAGAGTGCTAAGCAGACACTCATAGCTACTTCCACTATGGCAGCGGAGTTTATAGCGTGTTATGAGGCATCAAATCATGGAATATGGCTGCGTAATTTTGTTACTGGGCTGCGTATTGTGGACAATATAGAAAGACCATTTAAGATATTTTGTGACAATAAATCAGCAGTGCTGTATTTCAATAACAACATGAGCTCGACAAAGTCAAAACACATAGAGATCAAGTTCTTTGCTGTTAAAGAAAGAGTTCAGAGTGGACAGGTGTCAATAGAGCATATTGGGACAAACTCCATGATTGCGGATCCGCTTACTAAGGGATTGATACCCAAGGTCTTTCATGAGCACACTGCTCATATGGGTGTAATGTCTCTTGAGGATATCTAGTTTCAGTGGGAGTTTGCATTTTTGCTTTTCATATTGGACACATGTACTGTTATTTTGGATACAGTTTAAAGTTAAAGTTATTTTCAGTTATAAAGTTATTTGGTTAATTATCTCTGAACTTGTTTAAAATGATCTCACTAAGGTATTAAGGTGGACCAGTTGGAAATAGGCATGTTACAGAT